GTAGTGGGGCCGGATGGGGGTGAGGTAGGGGAGGATGAGTGTGAATGTATATTGAGAGTAGATGAATTATGAATTAAAACCACAATATTGTAAACTACTAACTCCGTTTCACAAAACAACAACAACAACCCAGTTAAATCCCACAAGAGTAGGGTCTGGGGAGGGTGTGTGTACGCAGACCTTACCCGTACTCGAAAATAAAGAGGTTGTTTCCAAAGAGACCCCCGGCTCAACGTCGAAAGTTGCATTGTTTGACTAACTGCTACTTCATTAATTAAAGAAGCGCAGACAGTTTAGAGATCCATTTTGATTTATTCCATCACACCCCAAAGCCAAAAAATGGTGAAATTTTGGCTCCATCACAAAACAAAAAGGTTAGATTTAAGGCATGTGTAGTTTAGGTATTACTTTCCAAATTTTCCCTTAGATGTGATGGGTAGAATTGGATGTGATGGATAGATTTATAATGAATAGACATGATGTGATTTTTAGTCGATGTGCCCACGGCTTGGGGGGTGTGAAACTGTGAATAAGGTGTTTACAAACTTTTAGGAGTTTAATTAAATCGGTGTTTGGCAAACTTTTCGGAGATCAATTCTACAAGCTTTAGCTCATATGTTATTTGTTAACATCAAAACACGAGGTTTAGCAAACCAAGGCTAACAGTGATAGGTAGGGTAATAATTAGTAAGGGTAAATATGAGATTTTAAATGAAAGTGGAAGTGTTCTATACGAAGAGTGAAAAGTGAAAGTGGAATGGTTTTGTGAAACACAGGTAGTGTAATTTTTGAGTAAAAAAACTCAAAAGAATTGTGCATCAGGAATACAACATGATTTATAAATAGGATTTAGGACCACCTTAATATGCCCTAAAAAGTATATCAAAATGGAGCAATATCTTTTGCCTCTTTTTTTTCATTTTTTTGTTTTGATGTTTGTTCCACTGTCATGACTCAATACTTTTTGTTTGCTAGCCGCTGCCTACTTGCTGGATATTTATTAGGTGTTGGAACTTTTATGTCCTTGTCTCATTATACTTCAAGAGCTGATGGATCGAGCACCTCATGATTATGCTGCTGCTATGGCATTTGCCTCGCAACAGCACCCACAAGCTAATTTGCAACACCACCACCACCACCACCACCAACAACAGTTTGGTTTCCATCCACAACATCAACCATTTCCTCAGTTTTTGCCTCCACAACAACAATTCCCTTACCATCGCCCACCACAACTTCATCCTCATGCTCCACCTCCTCACCTCCTTCACCTACATCAGCAGCAACAACAGCATCCTTCCCCTATATCTACCCCCGGCTTTCCACCACACATTCCTCCTCACCTCACATCCCCATCTCCCTTCCATGGCCCTTATGATTCTCCGCCACTACCTGCTCCTCCACCATCTGATCCTGAACTCCTTAAGCGCATTGATAAATTGATAGAGTATGCGGTCAAGAATGGTCCAGAGTTCGAAGCCATGATCCGTGAAAAGCAGCAAGACAATCCAGCTTATGGTTTTCTGTTTGGGGGTGAGGGACATTATTACTACCGTTACAAACTTTGGATGGTTTCACGACAGCCAGGTGGCCCTTTTAATGTTCCTTTCCAGTCTTCTCATATGCAAATGATGCACCCTCCGAATCCCATGATGAGTTCATCACCATTAACTGCTCCCCAGTACAATGGTTCGCCTGCTGCCTCAGCATCAGTTTTAGGCCCACCTCATTTACACCAGCCCCCTTTCCCACCCTCCTATGATCAGCAGCCTCCTCTGTCTTTTGCACGTCCTGATTATGATAACTACAGGTCTTCCAATTCTAGACCTCTTCCTCCTGAAATTGATATGGAGTTGAATAATGTCCTGAACAATCTTACTGGCACCAAGGAGTCAATCAAAGGTGCCAAGAATTGGTTCATGCAAAGGTCTCCTTTTATACATGCTTTAGCTGAAGCTCTTAGAGAAAGGGTGTTTTCAATGGACGATTCTGAAAGGCAACTCCATATTGTTTATCTTGCCAATGACATTTTGTTTGACAGGTATGAATTTGAAGTATTGCTTCACTACAAACAGGATGAATGTGATGATCCTTGGTGCTTTGTTTTTTAATTCCTACTTCCGTAGCTTGAATGGCTGATTTTCGTTTTCCCCTTTTCAACTTCTAGACTAAAATGATGTGTGATGTTTGTTGTATTCTTCTTTTTATATATTTCTTAGAACTGTTCACTAAAGTTAGCTTCAAATGATGATAGCTAAATTGGGGCCATATGATACCCTGAACTCTTTTCTTCTAATTATGTTTTCTTTTCTGATAAGCATGCAACCAATTGTGCTTAGTTACATCCTCCTCTATGTATGTATTATCAATCTATAGGGTTTGGAGAACAATTATTGTAGATGTATACCAACAACCAGAACCTGCCATAAGCTTTATTTGCAGGTCCCATGGCTAATGATGTAAAAATGGTGGCTATATATTACTCCATAGATAAGAAGTCCAGAGAAATTTTTAATTTTATTTCATATAGGAGAGGTGGAAGCGGTTCAAAGAAGAGTTGGGGTGTCGTCATTTGACATGACATGATGCTTATGCAACTGTCTTAAGGTATGAACATAGATATGAGGGTGTAGAGGGCAAGGATTAAAGTCTTAGGGTAGTGTTGGGGTTTCGTGTCTTTCCCTTGACAACAAATGTTCTACAAGGTAGCTAGGTTCAGTGAGGTGGTCCTTTTTTTGTGTCGATAAATTTGCACTTCTTTTTTATAATTTTTGTTAGACCTTTACTTTCCTGTTGTACTATCCTAAATTCCTAATCTGCTTTCCTTTTG